TGCGGTCGGAGAAGTTTACCTGGAGGGACGTACTCCCCTGCGTCTGCAAAAATGTCTTCGTCTTCGCTCTCGTCTTCTTCAATCGTGGCGAGCCCCGTCTGCTTTTGAACTGCCGGCGCAACATCAACGGATCGTGCGGGAGCCACTTGCGGAGCTGGCTGCCGCACCCGTCGTTGTGCGTGCTTGGGTTGCTGAAAGCAGTCCAGAACGTCGCCCAGCAAATCCCGAGAAATGTAACCAGGGACACCGGCAGCATCCACACCAGGGCAATCATCTGGACTGACTTGTACGAATCGAGGCAAGTTGTCCACGTCTCGGCTGTGCACGTTGAATTCGTAGTGTAGGCGACCGGGAAGGAACAAATCCGACACGTGCTTGACCCTGGTGTAGTCGACGGACAACTTTGGGAGGACCCGACATGGATCGATATCACGGCGAGGTAAACAACTCTCATATTTATGCTCCCTAGCGATGCTCCCCTGTTGCCCTAAAGGGCGACGTCGCGTGCAGCTGTGTAGCGAAGGATGCGCCTGTTCTGTCGGGTAGAATTGATTCCTACCCACTGCTAGAGGCAAAGTGCAATACTTAGATGGCAAACGCCTGATCAAGAAATCTACTCTTAGTGTCCGCGACAAGACAGCTCAACCATATCGAGCGTTCGAGTTCGGCGTCAAAATTTGTGTATGAGCTGGGAATTTCCATGACGATTACAACGACGTCGTTGGTCTTGAGGCGGTTAGCAACCTAGCTATTGCAGTCTCGGACCACAGAGGGCGGCCTCAGGCTACAAGAACAGGTCGGCGTGGAGGACTGGTAACTCGGCTTGCCTCAACTTCTCGAACGTGGCTGGTGCTATCGCACTCTACTTGTCCAACGACGCCACGTAGGGTGCCACGTACACGGCCTTAACAACCATTGACGATTCCGCGACCCTAAATCCAGGGCCAAGGTTATTTGAATTTGGAATCGGCAAGGTGCCTCGTAGAAGTTAGGGATACATATTGGACGGTTCGTGAATGTCGACTGGTTAGCTGCTGCGCCATGAATACACAACTAAGTGGCACTCTGGAGTCCATTCCTAGAAACTCCTTGGAGCGGTAGGTAGTGGGCTGTGAGGGCGCGACACGGACATTCGCGAATGCAGTTGCAATATCTCATCTCGCTGGCGTCTTCGCTCGAGAGTTTTGTCTGTGTCCGTCAAGCTTCAACGTTCGAGCCGCCCTCCTTGTCGTGGCTTCTGCTATCACTTCTAGGAAGCGGCCATCGCGCCGTCTCCATGCCTTGATGCAGCTCGAACACGGACGCCTTCGCAGCCCGCACCGCTTTCGAATACCTGAGCTCAACGACGCGGTCGGTTCACGGCGTAACTGGCAATCATGTCGAAGTCGTTTCGCCGTACATTTGAAGTTTGTATGTCGGCAGTCCCGTAATCAACATGAAACGGTCCAAACGACGACCCGTCGGTTTCACGACCGAGCAACCAAACCCGAATGCCGACCAAAATAGCGCCGCGGCATCGCTCCATGCACTGCGCATTCTTGCGTTTGCTACCGCCATGACACGTCCGTCGAAGAAGAAGCAAGTGGAAGTTCACTTGCGCATCCGTCCGTTGGTGAAGGAAGAGCTCGAGCGGCAAGACGTCCCCCTCGTGTTGACGTGTTTGGACGGTGCCGATGGCTTGACCAACTTGAGCCTCACGACGCCGAAAACCGAAGCAGATGACGTCGAGTTCGTCGAAGTGTTGGGGTTTCAAGTGCCCAAGTCCAAGCCAAAGCGAGACAAGACGTTCCGCCGCTTCCACAGTGTCCATGACGACGTCGCCAACGAAGCCTTTTTCAAAACCACCGTCGCCCCCCTCGTCCAAGATACCCTGGCTGGCCGCACGGCGTGCTGCTTTGCGTATGGCCACACAGGGTCGGGGAAGACGCACACAATCCTCGGATACGGAACGGAGCACGGCATGTACCACTTGGCATCCAAGCAATTGTTTGATGCAATCGACGACGTCCGCGACCAGCACTCGAGCGTCGACCCCATCGACCACCCGAAGATTCAAGTCCGGCTCAACGAGATCTACAACGGTGAGGTGTACGATCTCTTGAACGACAGCGCCAAGTGCTATGTGCGCGAAGACGCCCATGGGAAGGTTCAGATTCGAGGCGACACAGTTGTGGACCCCGACACAGGCCTCGTATCCACGACCGCGTCCACGAGTTTGGTGGCCGCGACGCACGACGATCTCTTGGACATTGTTCGCGTCGGCCTTGCAGCGCGGTCGACGGGCAACTCGAATGTCCATCGCGCCAGCTCGCGGTCGCACGCGATCGTCGAGCTCGAGTTTGTCTCTGACCGCATCCTGCAGCTCCGACAACAAGTGGACGCCCTCGAAAGCGAGTACACGAGCATTCGGCACGAGCGAGACGCACTTGAAATGGACATCTTTACGCGGCAGCATTACAAAGTCGAAGGCAAGTGGGTCAAAAAGGAAAACGCCCAGGGCAGCACGGACGAAGAGTGCTCGCGGCTCTTGGATCTGCGCAAGGCGTACTTGGCTGTGGAGGCGCAGAAGCGAGCAGCGCAACGCAACGTGGAAGTGGCTCAATCGGAAGGTGGTTTTGTTCCCAAGGGCATTGCAACTGATGTTTCGCTCCATGTAGGACTGCCGTGCGTGGGAGGTACGCTCGTCTTTGTCGACTTGGCCGGCTCCGAACACGCGAGTAAAAGCACCGACGGAATCCAAAAGACGGAAGAAGAGCAACAGGAGTGCCGAGAGATCAACAAGTCCCTCAGCGCGCTCAAGGCTTGCTTTCGAGCGCAATCCCAAGGGCTGGCCAGCACGAGCTGCTACCGCAACTCCAAGCTTACGCTTGTCCTTCGCGACCATTTGAAGTCATCGCACACAGCCATGATTGCTGCCGTGTCGCCGTCGAGTTTTCACGTAGACAAGACGATTCACACACTGCAATACGCGCAACTCGTGGCGGAGAAGTAGGTCGTGGCATGAACATCGGTTGGCTTTTACAACGTCATCAAGTGCATGGATTCATTGCTACTTACAAATTCACTTCGAAATGAGGTACAAATTCGCCCACGAGGCAGCGGCAGCGCATTGCCGGGGCCAACTTTTTCAAAGCACCGAGCCCAACATGCTGGACGTCGCAAGCTGGGGCAGCCGCTTTGCTTCCAGGGAAAGCCGGCGGAACCAGCGACAGAAGGAACGCCATGGCATCGTCGGCTACAGCACTAACAAAGGTGTCCTTGCATCCATCGAGGTTGAGCCCCTGCGCTGGATCCCGTACCTCTCTGGCATAGTCCAATCGTTCGTCGCACATGTCGTAATTCGAATCGTGAACTCTTGACCAGCAGCTTGAACAGCTTCGACTATCCTCGACGGCTGAATACGCCCAACCTTGCCGGACCTTGTACTGCACGGGGAATCGAATGCAGCAGTGTCGGCATACCGTCATCAAACACCCCATGCACACGTCCGTGATGCCGTCCGAGCAATACTGTCCACAGTCCGAGCACGCCTTTCTCTTTTGCTGTGCGGAATACATTACGTTGCCGCTCGCAGCCAGAGGTACGAGCGACCACGCCGCCATGAGCCGGAGCTGGACCATGTTGCGTGTCAGCATGTTGCCAGCTTCACGCCACGCTGTAGCGACCATCTCCGAGTGCATGGCGGACACTCGAGCGCACAGAATGACTTGTGTTGTCGCGTTGTTTCGTTGAGTATCATGTGGTCCGGGGGAGTAGAGCAGCGCCACCACTGTGAATGCGTCGTTCCAGTCTGGCGTGAGTTCGATCCGTCCATGGTCCATCCAGCAGTGGTTGGACAAGGTCAGCGTTGCGATTCCCACCGGACACGCTTCAGTGTGCATGCATTCTTCATGCCATTGTACCCAAAGGTTGTCGTTGATGGAATCATGCAGCAGCAGTGGATGTTGTGTTGTGGTTGCCACGAGCGACAACGCGTCCATTTCGTCGGGTGGAAGGGCCAGCAATGGGAGCACATTGGACGTTTCCACGTGGCGTTGTAGCTCGTCAAATGATCCAGCAATTGTCGCTCGGTATCGAATTGTGTCTGTGAGACGACTGCTGTGCACTACCTGGACGCCTTGTTGACTCGGCACATTGGCCCACTTCGCCTCGACCACGCCAAGGGCCACCAACAGCTCTTGGTGCCACCGAAGCATCACAATGCAAGCTGCTTGCCACTCGTTCGATGTGCAGTGCTGCCGCAAGTAGGCCGCGAAACACTGCCGCGGCATCGGCGGTGGTCGAACTGGGCATTCCTTGTCCAAGCGCTACGTAGAGTCCTCCGCATCAACACAAAGCCTTTTTCAAAAATGTTATCCGAATTCATACGGATACCGTGCAACAGCCAATGGTTTGGCGCAGTTCGACTGTGTGTGCAAATTTGAAAATGCAAAAGCGCAAGCGCGAGGACGACAGCGGCGGCGCGACATTTGGGGGGTCCCGCTTCTCGTTCAACTTTAGCGGTGGAAGCGACAAGTCCACTTCAGAAACTGAGCTGGCCGCCACGGTCCTGAGCCATCCCACATCGGCGAGCATCAAGCAACAGTGTGCTATTGGTGAATCCACGGTATCGGCTGGCACTCTGGTCACCATTGACTGGGCACGCAGCTCTTGGCTTCAGCTCTTTGTCCGTGTGGCTGGCGACGACACGAGAGGTATTGAAGGTCATGTGCATGCTCAGTTTGTCTCTCTTCCCCTCCACGGCCAGCCCAACAAGCCGACATTCACCTCGAAAGACACGACGTGGAGCTTTGACTCGGTTTTTGATTCTGCCTTCGCCGGATGCAAGTTGCCCCTCCACTTTTCGACATCTCCATTGGTCATTGAGCCGAATCTGCAGTCCTTGGTCTGGCCATTGCACCTATCCACATTCCAACGCGAAGTAACTTCCTCGTTGATTCCATTGTTGTGTAACTCTGCGCATGAAAAAGGTATACAACCAGAAAGCGCTCGTTGTGCACGGATCGACCCACCGCCTTCAGACGTTGCAAGAAGACCTCCACGGCTTCAACGTGTCCGAGCTCATTCAGAACGCATCCAGGACGATTGCCTGGCTCAAGCAGGCGTCGCCACCGCACCGCATGCAGTACCTGGATGTGTCGTCGCCAGACATCGCCGCTGCCTGCTACGCCTCGGGCCATTCACTTTACTTCAACCCGTCCCCAGAGGTTCAGGTATGCTGCGCGCATCCACAAAACCCCATGACACAACGACATGTTCCCATGCAGGAGCGGTACATCCGTGCCATTTGCAGCGATCTCGGGCTTAACTTTACGAGTGGGCTGCTTGACGGCGGCATCGGCGGGGACATCGAGCTCTTTGCGGTCCAGTCCAAGCACCACACGCCGTGGCATTTTGACGCGCAGCACAACTTTACGGTTCTTTGAATGGTGTGTGCCGCCTACTGACGACGCCGTTCCAGGTCCAACTGGTCGGGACGAAAGAATGGTCGTATGCAAAAGGACCGCTGACCGACCCCATGTCGAACCTGCACTTGTCGTCATCCAACACGGCCTCCGTGGTCGGTAAGGGTTCCATGTGTCGTGCTCGAGATCCACCACATTTGCGACTACATAGACGACATGTTGGCGCATGCAATGTCCGGGGCGACGGATTTAAAGCCCCCTACGACCGAGATTGAAACAGTGACGCTTCGGCCTGGGTCGGTGCTGTACTTGCCAGCGGGATACTGGCACTCGGTCACTTCGTTCGACGAAGGTACCGAGCCGACGACGCCAATGGAGGAATGGCAGATATGTTGTGTGTAGGCTCGTTATCGATGAATTTTTCGATTGACGGCGCACGGTGGATGGACGTTGCTTGGAATCGATTGATGCCGGCGCTTGCGGTGCAGCCAGCATGGCGAGAACGCCCCAATTTTTGTCATGGGCCGGAAAATGCACGAGCGCAGTGGAAAGCGCGGTTGACTGCGTTGGCAAAGACCGTTCAAGCGATGGCGGATGCTGTGGACGTAGTCCTACCTGACGCGCTTTTCCACGAACCGGACGGAGAAAGTGGGGGCGACGAAGCGGCTCCCTTGACGTTGGACGCCTCCGATGGCACTGAGGTGAGTACAACGAGTTCACGGAGCATGTAAAGACATGCCCACGTAGACGATCGCGCTTGAACCGTCGACTACTTTGACGCGGTCTCCTGCCCACGTGTCTCAACTGGTGACCCGAACCCCCCTCGAGTACACAATCGCGATGGGAGGATTCCGAAGGTTTGCCGACGGGTGCAAAGCCGAGAGCCAAAAGCTGGTCCAGATTCCTGAAGGCCTGCAAGACGTCGTCGAACACCTTCGCACGGAGCGTCCTGGTGCGTCATGGGATCTCGGGTCTCTCGAAGAGCGCGTAACGGACGCATCCCTCCTTCCTCAGCTCCGCCGCTTCATCGACATCCTGCTCCAATGCGGGTATCTTCAAACGCTTCCAAAATATAGTGTAAATTGCTAATAGTGTGAGAGGTAAATGTGAATAAAAATTGGTGATTTTGCCTTTCAAGTAAACAAAATAAAATGCTGGATGGAATGCACCTGACACTATATTCCCGACATGACACTATATACGAGATTTTCACGGTTGTGCGCCAGCTAAAGCCCATGTCGCTGTCGCAAGCGGACTTCAGACGGCTCTTGGAGACGCCCCGCGTCGCGCCTCAAGGTGGAGGCGGCGGAACATTAAGCAAGGGTGCGATTCAAGCCAAGTTTGGGGGAAAAAGAGGATCGGAATCGTCGGGTAAGGGACCAAAGGACCGTGAGAAGTACAAAAAGTTCAAAAAGCCTGCTGCCGACGACGACAATCTGCAGAAGAAGCCTCGAGCAACGATGATTGATCCCACGTATCAGGGAAAGTACAGAGATCGTGCAGCTGAACGTCGGGCAGGTGTGAACCGAGACTACGAAGGTCCGCTATCCACATGGTTCACGTCAACATCGTCGGTAGTTTGACTTGTGATGTCCTTATCTTCAGGGCTAGAAGACATCAACACTCAGGAAATGGATATTGAGACGACAAAGTTCTTGGGCGGTGACATGAAGCACACGCATTTGGTGAAAGGTTTGGACTTGGCGCTCTTGGCGCAACTCAAGCGCGAAAAGGAGAAATTGCAGGAACAACATGCATCCCTTGTCCGGAGTGGGGCATTGCCATCCTCGGCAACTCGGGACACTTCGTCGAGCTCCCAGGATACCTCTTCATCTCCAAATCCCCTCTCGGCGTTGGGTACGTAGCATCAACATGGATCGATAATTCATCGTGTGCACTAGGGTCATTCCTGATCAAATTCCTCCCAAAGTTGTCCGTCGACTACACCAGGGTCAAGCACGTGTCGGATTTGTTCCTTCCCGGTCGCCTACACTACGAATTCAACGTGCACAGCCGAGACTTGGACAACTTGCCTCGATTCGTACAAGTCAGTCCAGATGATTGCCCTGGTGTGGATGCTGCCGGTGTCCCTGGTTACATTTCTCGGGATTTGCTGGGCGACGTTCTGGACTGCTTTCAGCAACCCAAGCACGCCGCACAACGACGGGTG